TCTCACTTTGAACTAGAACAAAAGTTTCACATAATTATAAAATAAAATTTAGTAAAAAATGTTATATCATAAATACTAAGAATAAAACAAATGGGCCTAAATTATTTATCAAGTTGGTCGGGAGGAGGGGGAAAATCACACAAGTGGATTTATTTTTAATAATTTTAAAAATATAATACACTGGTCAGCAGATGGTGTAGCAGTTACATCGCTGGACTCCCACTTGGGAGTCCGACCTCAGTCTGAGGCCCAGACCCACAGGAACTAACGCCAGGAGGGGAATGGAGGAGAAGGGAGCATGGCGTGGCCATCGCCACGGGGGCGACTTCTCACTCGCATTGTCTCTGGCTCGCTCGCTCTCTCTGGCAAGCACACGGCTCTGTGTGTGTGTGTGTGTGTGTACATACATAAATATACATATATACATATGTACATATGTGTGCGTATTTATTTTACAGGTGGATATATAATGTATTATAATCCGTATTTCACACACACATATATTATAGGTTGGACATCCCTTATCCAAGACACTGGGACCTGAGCTGTCAAGGGTTTTCTAAATTCTAGACTCTCTGAACACGAGGAGGCAGCCTGGAGATGGGCCCGGATCTACAGAGGAGGCTGATTACATCTCATACGCGCACACAGCAGAGGCGGTTTTATATTTGTGTGTCACAGTACTTTGCATGTGACCCATGTATGAAGTCAGGTGTGTAATTTTCCACTTGTGAAGCCACATTAGTGCTCAGAGTTTTGAATTTTGGATCAATCTTGGATAAGGAACAGTCAATCTATATGCGTAATATCTATCTTATATACTTACACATATTTATATATTTCAAGTATAGCCTTTACTTCCATATTAATATATATTCGCATGTAATCTCATATACACTATGAGCATCTAAAAGAAACACGTTTATGTACATACTGTTCAGAAAAGAGATACGTCAGCAGGAGGAAAGACAGAGAACACTGGCATGGAAGACTAAGTTTTGGAGACAGCCCTGCACTGCATGGGAACTGCCGCGGTACGCGCTGCTCCCTCGGAGTGGTGAACCCCCGGCACTAGACTGGCTCGAGTCACTGCTACTGGAAAACAGAACATGACTCATCAGAGGACGGAGCGGGGCAAGCGCGAGATGAGCTTGGGGACACCCTGTTATGCCAGAGATCGCCAAGCGAACAAGTCGTACAGGACCACTCCGAAGACTCAGGAGTAACCCTGGGAGGCTCCTTTCCCCGAGACAGCGGGCCACCAATGAAGACATACATGACGCTGCAATGAAATACAGGGAACCCCTAAAGCCGCAAGCTCTCCAGGACCCTGGGGGGCAACTCAGCACTGGGAAGACTGGCAGCGAGGAGGGCGTTGCGCGTCAGCGTGCCTCCCGGGCCGGCTGCTCACGGGGACCAGGTGTGTCATGGCGGAAGGCGCTCTTCGCAGGGAATTCCCGATGCGGCCGTTTGACCTCCCTGGAACTACACTCCTACACACGCTCGGGCCCCGACGGTCGCTGCCGCGCTGCCAGGGACAGAGAGGAGCCCCGTGTGCCTCCTCCTGGGAAACCCTGGGCCCCCCACCCAGTGCCTGGGGAGGGGAGTGAGCCGACTCTAGCTCCCTCTACCGGCTTGCAGCAAACAAAAGGCAAAGAGGAACGTTGCATTGCAAGGCACGCAAGACCAAAATACAGACCACGGAAAGTTTATGGGACAAGCAGGAGGGGAAAATAAACAGGAAGAAGAGGGAGCTGTGCACAGCCACTACCCCAACTACGAACTGTCGTGAGTCCAGAAAACACACCCACGAGCACACGAGGAAAACCCCAACAGCCGATGGCAGGGAGACGCTGCAGCAGCACCTCACGTCCACAGCGGGGATGGCCACCTTCAAACAAGCGAAGTAACTAATGTTTTCCAGGCCCTGGAGAAATCCGAACCCTGCTACGCGGTTTCTGGGAAAGTAAAATGGTACAGCCACTAGGGAAAACAGCATGGAAGCTCCTCAAAACAAACACGCACATGCATCGCCACACGCTGTGTCTATGGAAACTCCAGTGGGACAAGAACCGAGAACCGGACCTCCGAGCCAACTCTGCACACCGCGACCGCAGTGCACGCTCGCCGGAGCCCGGAGGTGCAGTGGCCCTCAGTCCACCCACAGGCGGCCGGATGAACACGTGCGAGCACACAACCGCGCGGGACCCCGATATGAAGGAGCGAGGTCAGAGGCTGCCAGGGAGAAGTGCTTGCCGGCCGTGGCCCCAGACGCCCGCGCAGAGGGCTGAGGGCCCAGAGCCGAGCCCGCGCTGCCCGGCGGGCAGGCAGGCGGCAGCCAGGCAGGGCTCTGCTCCGGCCACGGCCTGCAGCGAAGGCGGCCAGCTCCCGCGGGGCTGCTGGCGGCTTCGAGGCTCGGCCCCAGCTGTGCATACGTGCCCCCAACCAGCCTGGGAGCTGGGGAAGAGCTGGTGCCCTGGCCATTCCAGGGGAAGGCATTTTCTCTTTTTCCCTTTTTCTCTGGCAAATGTGCATGCCCTCTGGCAAATTATTTAAAAGAAAAAAGGAAAAAAGAAAGTGAAAGGTTTGTGGCTAGGAGCTGGTGGAACTAAATTCTTTATAGGTATATGGTTTCAGTTTTGCAAGATTAAAAAAAAAAAATTTACAGCACCCTGTTACACAACAATGTGAGTATAGTAACATGGCTCACTGCATGCTCCAAAAACCTTCCTTACCGTTTTTCAGAGTTTTTCAAGTATATTTAAATTATTTGCTAAGACTAAAGAGGTTATGCTTTAAAGAATGAGCATTCCATCGTGGTTATGTATCTTAATAGCCTGCATCGATAGAAATACGACACACTCATTAGTAAAACCGTATGTTGGTAACTTCCGGTGGGGGAAGATGGGGACATGGTGGTTAAAAACCACTTGGTGACTACGGCAGCTCGGTGAAAGGTCATTGTGCTAATCTCTCCAGCATCTGCCTGAAATTTTTCACAGTGAAAAGTCGAAATAGCCGTGCATGCCTGCTGGCCCGTGCACCCACAGTGCGTATGAGAGGCAGAGGGGCGGCAGGACACAGCTGCAGAAGAGCTGCGCCCATCGGGGCCACGTCAGCCGCAACGAGAGGGTCAGTGTCTCTTGAGGGAGGGCCGAGGGCACAAGGAAGGTGACAGTCCCTCCAGTGATGGGGAGGGGTGGTCCCCACGGAGGGGAGACAGGGCCACGGCCACCTACAGCACAGGTCTCACTGCAGCGCGACGGCAGCGAGGGTCCCGGAGAGTGCGCGGGCACCCTGCTCAGAGGCGCAGAGGTGGCTTTGGTGCCCAGCCAGACGGCACGAATGGCTCTGTTTATCCCACACCCGCTCTAACCATAAACTGGAATTTCTGTGACCATGACTTCAAAAAGGATTCAGAGATTTTCAGCAGACTTGGAAAACGCTGGAGATGATCAATGTCGAGTTCGGTTTATAAACTGTAGCAAGCAGAACCAGACCCAGTCTTCTGAGTGGCACGGGAACGCACTGCAGGCTGGGCACCGAGGGGCAGGCGCGGTGGCAGTGCCACCCTGCACCCCTGCCCCGTGGACACCCGCAGGCTGGCCAACCGTCGGGGTCACCAGGAGAGGGAGGAGGGCAACAGGCCGCACACAGCAGGGCTCCGGCACTCAGGAAAGCTCAGGGTATGGATCCCCACAAAAGGGGCAGGGCTGGGCTGGCTTCCCCTGGCGCTGCTCACCTGGACCTGCTGAAACCACGTGCTCCGGGGACAGATCTGAGGACAGCTAGAGTCAGTCAGTGACCTGGGGAGCTCAGAGCGCGTCACAAACTAATGGGACCATGCCACCCTCTGCTCGGAGAAAAGCTGGGGGTGGTAATCTCTCCAGCCTCCCCTTAGCAAGAGAGAGGGAACGGGGGAGGAGAAGGCAGAGGGGCCCATCCTCCTCCCAGTGAGAATTCAGAAACAGAGCGAGTTCACCTCTCAGCACACGGACAAGCCCGTCCTGAAAACGAATCACCTTCTAGGAGCATCTTGGCAGACTCCGCACCTGCTTACTCTGGTTCTTGTTAAATTTTAGTCATTTTTATTTCAGACTGATAGATACCTCTGCTCAAATTTAACATTTACAATTAAACTTTGAATAAGTAAATAATTAAAATGTTTGGTAGCACAGTATAGAAAATTATTTTTAATAAGTTATTGTTTTAAATAATTCCTCTGAAAACATAAAAATTAATTCTGCTATTTACTAATTCCCCCACATACACGGCAATACTATTTTGGTAAGAAATTGCATTTTGAAGGAAAAAATCATTCTGAATTCTATTTAACAGTGATGAAATTACTTAGCTTACAGATAGGATAAGCGTTAGCAACTTGAACCAATTTCACCCCCTAATTTCTGTAAGAGTGCCTGCCAGAAGCTGTCAGAGACTCTCAGCATATTCAGAAGACTAGAAGACGAAGCCTATCCCAGCCCCCCAAGTCCAGCACCTCTGCTGTATGCACAGCTGACACGCACATACGTGATGAAATGATTCTGGAGAATGTTCTAAATAGGTCAGAATGGCTCTCCGAATTACCCATTAACTAAAGACAGGTAGAGCTGCAGTCCAACTGGCCACTAACTAGAAACACCAGGATAAAGTTCAAGTGTAAACACAGTCTGTCCTAAGTAAAATGGTGAACACATGATCGAGCTATTACTGACACTGTGCAATTGTCTTCCACTAGAAAATTCTGTTCACGAATATAGTTCATTTGGCAAAATACAAGACCGTCACTCTAAGAATACTTTCATCCTGGAAAGCACAGCTGAAAGGATATTAACACTACAAAAATCAGTATCTTCAAAGAATGGTGACTTTTTAACAAGATGTTCATAAATTATTTCACACATGTAAATTACATATTTAGAAAAGGTATTAACTTAGTTTGGAAACACGTTTACTTTGTCAAAATCTGAAAACAAAGCAGAGGGGACGCCGAGACTCACCATTGGCAGCGCATTGACGGGGTGGCCTCGACGTGCACCGGCGAAGCTGCTGCGGCTGCTGCTGGGGAAGGAGAGTCAGAGTGAGCTCCCTGCAGCACGGGAAGGCCCAGCCCCAGTGCCCGCGTCGCCCAGGTCCCAGCAAGGAGGACCGTTCCCCCACACCATCACGGCCGTAACCACAGAGGCAGCTGCATGCGTGTTTAACACCAACGGATCTCTGGAGCACCCCGAGACTCACGCTGCCACCCCATAACTCAACTGGTGCAGACGCCACTGGCTGCAGGGCCCACGCCACGTGCTCCCGACCGAGGACCAGGGACCGAGCGCCCGGCCACCAGCAGCGGGACAGGCCTGCACCACGGCTCGGAGACCACGTGCCCAGCCCACCCTCAGTCGGCTCTCACGGCTCCCGCCCCCCTGGGGGGGCACCCCGCCTCCTCCC